TTTCTGCTCAAACCCTCCTCTACTCCCTCCCACACACACGTGCTGAGGGGTTCAATAAGAGGTGATGCCTCTCTTTGCAAATCATCCCATTCAAAGAGCCTCTAAAAGCATTTCCTAAAAGCACCCAGGGATTTTGATGTATTCTTTAACCTGGGAGCATCTTGATTACAATCTAGGTGTGGCAGGGCCTCAGACAAGCAAAAGCAGCCCAGCTCCCCATGCACAGACCTGTTCAGCGGCGATGAACAAGACCCTGCTGGGACATCTCCAGCCCAGAGAGATGAGTGGCAGCAAGCTGCTTGCGGGCTCTGGCTTTGCCCCTGGTGTCTCCTTCCAGCAAGGTCCCACCGGCGATGGGGCAGCCTACCCCGACGGCATCTTCCCAGGGCTTCTCCTGAAGCTGAGCTGAACTTGCAGCTCAGATCGCAGAGACCGTGGTCATCGGGATTATCCACTTCTCGGAGGAAAGCTGCTCAGACCGATGCTGGCTGCTACTGCTGATGCAACAAACGTGATTTAATAGGTCTGTGTGGGGGGCCCGACCATAACGCAACACCCCAGCCCTCCAGTAAATTCATCTTCATGTGGCCCTGATCTCCCCAGCTGACATAGACCTGGCAGCCACCAGAATATCCAGGGGAGAACACAATTCTCTTATTATTATTAAAAGATTGTTTGGGGGAAAAAAAACAAAAAGAGAAAGAGGGGGTTTGCTTCTTTTGGTTTCGTTTTAAATTCCAGGCTGAAAAAAAGATTGCTGAGCTTTCCCCTGAGCAGTTCAGCCTCACATCTGGGTGTCGCAGCCACCGGATTTCCAGGCAGAATGGCATCAGCACATTGGGGATTGCATGCATGGGATGAACAGGCTGTCACTGAAACGCGGTTACCTCCAGGGAGAAGTGGGGTGGCTTTATCAGCTCCCAGCATCGCTGCAGGAGGGGACCCAGCAACTGCCTGGATGTGCCTGCAGCTCCTGTTTGGAAAGGGGCAGCCCCTTGAGATGGATACGGAACAATTTCAGGAAAGCAGCTGAATTTCAGCCCTTTCCAACCAGGAGTGGCATGGACCAAGGTGGTCTGGCTCCTATGCGGCTCTGACGTCTGGCGTTTGATATCCAGGGGTACAGCGTTTGCCCACCTCTGCCCACCTGAGGGAGGCTCTCCGCTGCCCCATCACGGCACCTAGATGCCGCTTGGGGAGCAAAGAGACCATCTTGTCATGAAACTGGTTCAGAAATCACTGTTGGAGGATGGGGAGGCAGCAAAGTGGACAGATATCCCATGCAATTGCATAATATTAATTTCCTTAAAAAAAAACCCCAATAACTATTCGGCCAAAAAGGGAATTTCCCTCCATACCATGAAGAAGGTAAATCCCTACAAACAGAAGATGAAGCAGATAAGGAACTACTGTCAAATATCCCAAGTAAATTGGCTGAAAATCATACACTGCCTTCTAAATACAGCCTAGGAAATGTCAGAGACAAAGCTTCAGACCCTTCCCTTCACCAACACTGTGAATAAATCAGGACAAGGACAAACCCAGCTCTGGCTCTCCCTCCGCTCCTGCGTAAGGTTCTGCTGAATTATGAAACCTGACTGACGTTTTGTGCCATGTCCACCTCTTTGCACTGTTCAGGCTGGATTTTAAAGTCACCTTGAGAGGGTGAAGAGGAGTCAAAAGTAAAATTTTCTGTGCGGGTGCTACCAACCACCACCCAAACAAGCAGTCTTCCCCCAGCACATCTAGTGTCTCCAGGGTTCGCGTCCAGTTCCCCTAACATGACTGTTATCTCGCACGTACACCCCAGAGGAATCCACAGTACACGATAAGCTGCAGCCAAGAGCAGAACCAGGGCTAAGAAGTCTCTTTTCACAAGCCAGCGTAACGCTTCCCAGCAGAACGGGACACCCCCACCCTTGCAGTTTGCAAAGCCGATCCCTGCTTGACTACTGTTTCTTGCAAAAACCACGTAGGCTGGCCCAAAACGCAGCTCCCAGTTATCTCCAGATGAGTTGGAAGTGCAAGCTGCATACGGCACGTAGCAGCCAAGAACAGCCTGTCAAAATGAGACCGTTGCCTAAAGAAACCAGTAAGCAGTTACAAAACCAAACATCCATCGGGGAGGAGATGCACACCACGGCCAGGAGATTTCAAACCCTTTATTGCTGCCCAGTCCATGGAGATGCCGGGGCTTCCCCACGGTGCTCCAGCTATACACAGCACACGCGTTCTTCCAGTTCTCCTCCAGCAAGGACACTGGGTGAATTTTGGAGATGAGTTTGTCCTCGGTCATCTTCATGTGACCAAGAGCCACAGCCAGACAGAGCGGTGGGGACAATGACACCGAGGTCACTTGGTAGAAGCTTTGCAGGGAAACTGCAAAGACCGCAGCCCGCTACCTAATAAAGCCAGAACAGCAGGCTCAGACCTTGATGATCAGGGCACAATTTCTATTTATGTCATATTTTGGGCAGCCCTACAATATCTTCAATATACTCTGCCACTAACTCACTGGTATGCAAATACATCAACAATTTGGCTCCCTGCATGTTTCTTTCCTCCAGCTAACATAGACTTTGAAGGCTCATCAGTCCACTGTCACCCAAAATAGCTTAAGAGAGTCTTACTATAAAGAAATCTCTGCTCTCAGCATTAAGAGCATCACTTAGTGCTTCAGAGGTTCATTCCTCTGGCTGGATCTAAACATTCATGAGCAAACTTGAAGCAGTAACATGTCACGCCAATATGTTTTAATCCCTCTTCTCCCTTTGTAGATGTAAATGTTTATGATTTTTTTTATAGTCCCTGAAGCACGCAATGCTTCAAAATCTCCATTAAAACTCTAGTGTTACCTCCCTCAGAATCCCTCCACCCTCTCCCATCCTTATCTTTCCAGTCCTCTGACCAGAGGGTGCCCAGCCAAGGTTTCCAGCGGGTGTTTTCAAGGATACAGGATAGAAACCTGGAACCAGTCACAGTATAGAAGCACTTTTACTAGTGTATCGCTAAATACCTTGCAATGGGAAGTGCCATCACTGCCATGTGGAAAACAAGAAACATGACACAGGGCAGGGCCACTTGCAGGCCCCAGTAAAACAGAAAAGGAAGACAGATTTGAAGAGCAAAATTCAAGTTTACCAGTTCTTCATCCAAACCCCGCTCTTCTGCATCCTGCGATTTGTAAACCCCACCAGACCAGATAAACAACCCGGCAAATCGTTGCTGCATCACCCAAAAATCAGCTTAGCCATCAGAGAAAGGCTGACACGCACAAAACGTACCAAGTGCCTTGGCTCCTTCGAGCCAAAATAAAATCATGAGGGTCAATTAAAGCCTAGTCCAGAATTACCATCTGCAAACAGCCTCAAATCAGTTTACGTCTTGACTCAGTGATGTGATAAGGGCATTAAGAACTAAGGATCTGTGAACTCCACCATGCAGCATTGCTTGCTCTGGGCCATCACAGTGCTAGAAAAAACACAGAATACGGACATTTTGGAGAAGATGACTTTTTGGCCTTGGGTACCAGGCTGCCACTGCCAGCTTTGTGCAGACCTGGAGACATAAAGAAGCAACCTGCTTCCTTGGGGGCAGATGCCAGGAAGGCATTGTACTTCTCGGCTTGAGAAACAAACCAAGGGTATGCACAGGAAATATTGCAGCCATTTGCATTGGGTTTGTGCGGCAAGGTCTTGGTAGTGGGGGGGCTACCAGGGTGGCTGCTGTCAGAAGCTGCTAGAAGTTTTCTCTTGGCCAAGCCAATCAGCAACGGTGGAAGCGCCTCTGGGATAACATATTTAAGAAGGAAAAAAAACCAGCTGTGGCTCAGTAGCTGGAGAGAGAAGTGAAGTGAGAGGATGGGGGAGAAAACAGCCCTGCAGGCACCAAGGTCAGTGCAGCAGGAGGGGCAGGAGGTGCTCCAGGAACCAGAGCAGAGATTCCCCTGCAGCCCGTGGTGAAGACCATGGTGGGGCAGGCTGTCCCCCTGCAGCCCAGGGAAGTCCATGGTGGAGCAGAACTCCACCTGTAGCCCAGGGAGGACCCCACGCCGGAGCGGGTGGATGCCCAAAGGGAGGAGGCTG